AAAACACGTTTCACCTAAATACAACAAATGTTTACTTACTCACTGTTGTGTTTTTAATCTTATCTCATTTCGAAATAGGTATCATAAACTCATGCCTGAACTTTACTACACATTTTGCTCATCTACTAATTCATCTGTTACCTTGCATCGGTCTGCAAAACCATGATCTATGTTCACGGGCAAATTCATCTAAATCTGTTCAGAAATTTATGCGTAAAAGTGCAACAAACATTCAACATAATCTACCACTTATTATAAACCATCCTCTACCTTCATACCGACTGCAATAACGGTTTAGTTATTGTAAACATTTATTATAGACTTATTATCTGTCCGTTGGTCTAGCGAATACTGAACACCAGATGCTTTTTGTTAATTCAGAGTGAAAAACCCTCTTACAGTCCCTTTGGCGGAAAAGGACAAAGGGAATTGTAAGGATCTTACTGACAAAAAACCCAAAAAAACCACCCCCAAAGTCGTACAAGTTGAGTACGTTCCACAATCCATAATGATATTCTGTCACAGTCTGAACGGAATTCTATATTCAAAGTCAAAGTCAAAATCATTTATTTCAACTTCGACCAAAAAGGCAGTTTTGAACGTCAACAAAAAAAATTAAAAGTGAAGCTATTTGCTACTGATACTGAATCGGTTAAAGTATTATAGTGCTTTTAAAAACTTCTCCATAATAGAGGCAGGCGCTAAAACGTCGCGTACGTTTGTAGGACAATAATAGACGTGAACTTGACATTGTAAACTCTATATATCTTTAAAACTAGATGCTGCAGCAAAACATCAATGGAGTAGCCAAGGCCTTGAAGATTTAAAATTCGTTATTTTCATTTTTTTTAATCTAACGTTGCCCCACGCTAGGATTTTCTCCTGTGTCGTGTGTACGTTTACAAATATACAAGTTCACATACACATGATACCCAGACCCGAAACAACAATTTATTCATATAAACAACAACAGAGTAGCTCCGTACGGGAATCGAACCTGCTTTGCCCAGCAGCCGGTTGCCAAGCTACCGCACCAACCGTGCAGTCGCTTTCATGTATATCATCTCATTTGTATTGGTCACTCTAAATCTACAGCTAAATTGTTACTTAACCTCATTGAAGAGATTTTCATATGAACAAATTATAACAGTTATCATTTGTTTATTTCCACCCCACTAACATACGGTAAGAGAAAACGTTGGGGAGACCCGAACTTATAAAAATATTATCATCTGGAATTACCAATCCGCCTTGGGCAAAACCGGTGATCAATGCTCATTCCGCCTCTTCGCTGATAACCTTTGTGTAAGAGTGAGATAGATACACTGATTGGTATTTTGACCATAGTTTTGGAAAATATAAAAGGGCACTTTCAATACCCATAGTAATTATTTAGGAATAGAGATCACATAAACAACTATTGCAACCATTAAAAGCCGCTATCATCGCTTTCGTAGAATGCATACGAATTTGTATTTTAGTACGACGTAAATTGGTTCATTATCACTATTTAAATTACCTTCCCTGATATTTCTTTCGTATTGTTATACATAATTTCATCAATACCTTTTTTTTACATCATCAATCTCTTCATGAATATTTGCTAGTTCTACCCAAAGAAAAGGATAAGAAAAAAATTGCGACACCTTTGCTTTGGGTTAAAGTCAAAGATAAAATCATTTATTTCAATTAGACTGGCACCTGTAGCCAAATGCCATTTAGCGCTTGTCTACAGAGAGAGTAGAAATCAAAATGTATGGGGATGACACTGACAAGTGTCAAAATTTATGTCAATTCCATATAATTTAGTTTTCTACTCTACAAGTAGACAAGCGCTAAATGGCATTGGGCTACAGCTGCTGGAAGGCACTTTTGAAGGTTAAAACAAAATATTGAATTATTAAAAAAAATGTCACTCTGTCGATCAGTCCTCTAGTGAAGCTATTTGCTCGTTCCAAGGTGAAGATTCCTATGGAGAAGAACGAGCAAGAAACTCCATAGGTTACTCTTTTTTAATCAGGTTCACGATACAATAAAACTCGGTACAGTTAAACTCTGTTTTAAATATTATTATGAATCAGATCTTACTTACTTACCTACGTACTTAAAACAACAGTAAATATATTAGGTTGCTAAACCCTTTCGGTATACAAGTCATCATATGATCTTAGATCATTCGTTCCATAATGGTGATGATGTAGGTAAAATGCTGTAATGCGCTCGTCAACAGCACCTCTGGTATCATTATACCTCTCCTTATAAGGACAAGGGAATGTCATTACTGAAAGTATAAATACAATATTTTCCTCAGTTCCTGGGAAGCGCTTATAACGATGATAAACCCTGTAATAATTTCAAAATGTTATACTAATTACAAGGTTTGAAACACATAACATTACTCAATTGGGTAGTTTCCAGGGTATCAAAATTGAAAATCTAATTACTTCGTCAGTTAGATAATGAAAAAATATTAGACACGTATTTTTTTATTGTGTCGTATTAAGTTGCAATACTTAGATAAGATGGCGCTAAGTTTGGGAGTGGGAGGTTGTTACGTCATAACGTGCTACAAAATGTGGCACGCTGTGACGTCACACGATATTTCAAATTAATATATAATCGAAAGTATTTAATTTTGTGAGAAAAGAAAAAATACGTGTCTAAAGTTTTAAATTAATCTACCAGACGGACATAAAGTGGTGTTTCATAAAGTGTCGAATACAAGAGCCAATAGGACCTAGTTTACACCACAGTATTAATCTACGTGTTTTTGTAGAAAAACATAATAAAATTCAAGCGATTTCTAAGCATGCAAAAGCCTGTCTGTCAGCTCTTATCCATGGTTTCGTCTGCTAGCTAGCAGCTCCGTCTCTGTCCTGCCATTTGCTCGTTAGCGATTTTATCTCTTATTTCTGAGCTCTGTCTCTAGATCTTTTAGCATGATGGTAGATACCTCAGACTGTCTTTGAAATGCATTAAGCATTTTTACTTCAAACCAAATCCTTTAACAAGATTAAAGTATGCGAGTATTTCATTTACAACCTCTCAAAAGCGGATATAATTAATTATGTACACTACCAGTGCCCTTGAGATTAACATTAATCTGCAACACTTACATTCTTTATGAAAGCAAAAGTCCAAACTTTGTGTATGTTCGCGCCACAGATCTAGCTATCTATATCTGTGGTTCGCGCCTATATACCTACAACCTGCATGGTGCGCGAACACACACTGGCCGTATGCCGTCCGGTTACAAATTTTCTTTTTTAATTTATGGCCAAGAACGTCATTCAAAATGGTCGCCATAATATTTTTATCTAATTTTATTAATTAATAATAAATGTAAAAATTATAGAAATATTATCTGCCATTGTATTTAAATACCATCTTTTATTAACTTTTTGTCCTAACGGACAGTGTATGTCCAGACCAGTCCCAACAATATTTTATTGAGTTCAAATTTGAAGTCATTATAATTTAACTATGCTTATAATCTTAACGTTTTTCCACTTTTTCGTCTCTTACTTTACTCTACTCCCACTAAATACATAGGCGTAAATATAAGTTACGTTCATATATATGTACCACTCTTTATTTATACAGATTAAGTAGTAGTCAAGTATGCAAATAAAAATGTAGATGACCCATGGATATTTTTTCTAAATGTATAACAAAAGTCTGTTTCTCTAGTTCAATGTCACGCTGCGACACGTGTCAAACTTTTGGAGACAAATTCGCAAACAAGCACTATAGCATGTTGAATGCGATCCTCAGATCCTCTAATTTGCACTCTGTTGCGCTATGAATAAGGCTGATTACTGAGTGTTGTTATTTTGATTGTACTGTACACCAAGTGTATCAACTACATAAAGGTATAATCAAGTTTGAAAACACACGTGTCGGTGACAATTAGAAATTGTTGTTATTGTAATGGTGCTAAGGGTCATATTTGCAGTTTAAAATGTTACTTTAAAATCCAATGCTATGTTTTCCGAAATCCCATACAAGCTTTCCATTTTCTATCTGCATTATGACTTTCGAAGTCTTCCCTAAAAATTTAAATCCGATATATTTCCAAAAGTATTTTGTACCGGCTATACTTTTGAAGTTTCTCACTTGGAAACCAAAGCTCATACCTTTATAGAGATTAGCCTGTACCCTGTCAACAACGGTAGCGAGTTTGACACTCAAAGGGTACGCAATGTACTCGTTAAAAACCTTTAAAAAGATAAAAAGCCGCATGCATGTCAGTGAAGCTACCCGTACTTCTAAAACCACTCTTACTACTTGGTAATAAGAGTGACATCAAACAAGGACATGATGTACCGTGGACGTTGGGGGAAAATATTGTATTTTGCGTCACCCACGTTCAGTGCCTAATGCTATTAAGCTAGTGGGCCGGTGTTAGGGAGTGACCTAATTTTTACCTAACTTCGTCGGTTTTTTCTCATGTTTTGCTATGTCAGAGGTCTCAGAGATTGCGCAGCGCAAAAAATATTGTGTTGTGGGTAAATGTCGTGTAGGGGTGTAGGAAAGGGACTGCCTCAAATTGCCCGTGGCTTCCGTACCGTGGCTCTTGAGTTCTGACAATAATAGTTCTTTTTGGCAACGTTTTTGTGACCATATTGAAAATCGAAATCTTTGTTATTGTCACAAAAATTGCTGTACAGGATGACATGGTATACATCTGAAGTAGCCTCCAGCAATGAGTACCTAGTGCAAAAGTACCTCTAATACTTTACGATATCATCTTAGTATATCTTACCTTACCTCGATGTCAACAAAATCGCAGAAAAACCAGTTCTTGTTTTCCAATTCTCAAACAATAGTAGGTAATTAATCGATAAACAGCGGACTCTTTGATGTCACAACACTAGTTATGTCAAAACAAGAAACTGACGTTTAAACAATACAACAATATTACGTTACTTAATCTCAAATCAAGTCCATAGTACCCATAGCCATAATACATGGAAAAAAGTTAGTAAATTAGAAAAGGAATGCTTTCAACGACCTCCGAAAGAGGTCGCTTTTGTTTACATGTTCTAAGGAATGGAGAAAAATTGACGGAGGTCCTTCTTAGTCCCAACCCTTCGGGTAAAGTTACAGACGTCGATCGATTTCAACAAATACCATGGAATACCAGTGTCCTATCGATGTTATTGATTTATTATGTTACTTGTACTTACAATGAATGGGTTTATAAGGTGAACTTTAGTATTTTTGTTATAGATGTTATATTATATCCCAATATCATAAGTCTATTTATAACCAACTCAAGAACGGCTAAATCGATTTTGATGAAAATTGGTAGGGAGGTAGCTTAAAACCAGGAGATAAACATAGAGGATACTTTTTATCCAATACATTTTTTTTTACTTTTTACCGAATATCACGAACGGGAACGGGAAAAAACTGGGTTGCACGTACGAAGTCGCAGGCAGAAGCTAGTCTTTAATAACAATACAATGACAAATCTCACTCTCTGTCTCTCTCTCTCTCTCTCACACACACACACACACACACACACACACACACACTCGCCTCTTATGCCTAAAATCTTTCTTCACGTGGTCAACACTTATTAAATTTTGAAATATTGCAACACATCTCAGCGTACATATTCCTAGTACTTAAATACTACTAAACAACGAAATAAGAATTACAACAGCATTACTAATGAATCCGAACTAAAAAAACAACGTTAACAGAAATATCGTGTCGCCGACTTACATTTCTTCGAAACATTTATTTCTTTGCTGTTCCTATAATTATGTGCTGCCTGAAACAATAACACGATAGAGAAGTAACCATACATTTTACCAAAACTCACATCTTCATTAAATTATGCAAACATATAAAGTTAACGCATTAAGTTGTTGTTAATGCACAACAAACTTCATAATTATCAATACGGTAGTTGACAAATAGTCAAATTCAATACTTTAATCGAAACGTCAAAAACGATACTGTTCTATGAATTTTGTACGAAATACCATCTTGTGACGTCATCCTATTTTCGCGTCAAATAGCACACTTATAACTAAAAACAATGCTACAATAAATCGAAAATTAAGTATATCGGCAAATCAATGAATGAAAGTGTAACTATTTTTCAATACTTAATTGGAATGAAAAATCAAAATAATTTATTTTTGACTCAGAAAACTACCCAATTAATGATCTGGATAAGGCTTAAATACACTTCCGCAGTCATATATCTTTAACCCTAAAAATGAGCTAAAAATCGATAAACGCCATAAAACACGCACCATAGACGCACTGCCGAACACACTAGCGCTACGTCAACATTTCCACAGATAATAAATAAAAAAGTTAGTGTAATACATCTCGAGCAAAAATCTGCAGGTTTCGCACCTGCATTAGACGGTTGAATAATTCGCTAAGCTGTAATGGTGTGATGGTTGTCGGAGCGGAGCGCTCACTGTGCCCAGCTCGGCTGCGGCAGGCGGGCGTCGGCATGCCGGCAGCTGCATTGCAGCTGACGTCTGCTTTTGGTCGTTTTACTGCACCGTACAGAATCCTGCTCGCTCAGTATCTACACATAAGTACATATGCGGCCGGTGTGAGCTACATACTCAAGTCTACACGTACCTATGTAGCCTCGGCACATGATGCTTTTGATCTCTGATGTTGAGCAGAGTTGAAATTTAGTACCTCGCCGTTTGAGATCAGGATTCACGTACGTGAAATAGTAGTCATTGCTGTTGAGATGCATCTGGGGACTGAAAACTGACTGATTGTATAGGGAAAAACATTTTAATGGTCTTTGATAGTGTATTTATGTCGTCAGTTTATTCTGAAACCTGTGAAGTCGTCACCATTTCTATTTCTGCTGTAACAGCGTGATTGGGGTTTGAAAGATAGATAAGTCTACTTAGGTACTGGTGTAATTGCAGGCTCTTGAGAAAACAATACCATTTTAACGTCCCAGGTAGCATGATAACTTTATCAAAGACACAATTTAATTTTCAATCAATTTGTTCGATGAGAAAATGTTATCGGAGCCGTTAAGCTTCCGAAACTTTTAATCTGCGCAATTAGTGTGACCTGCTTTCCTATCCAAGTTTTTAAAGAAAGATCATCAAACTTAAACAAACAGAATACAAAATGTAGAGAGAGAGAGAGAGATAGATATAACATTACGCCTTTAACTCCTCAAAGTGATAGACAGTAGTGATCAATTAGTCATACTTTTTCTTTCCAAAGAAAGCTGATCTCCAGTAGGTATCAAAATACCTACTGGAGATCAGCTGCTTTGATAACCAAACGCTACATGATTGCGTAATTTACCTATCAGAAAAACTGAAATTTGTTTATGATAACGTACCAAAACATTATATTTTTATATCTGCAATGATATAGAAGTTCTTTAACGTCACTTGTATGTTCCGGTATCCGTTCCTGATAATATACTAGACTAGCTTTCGCCAACGACGTCTCTCGCATATCCAAGATAATACTATGTAATTCCGTACTATTGTCTATCTTTGTACCAAGTTGCATCCAAATCCGTCCAGTAGTTTATTCGTTAAAGAGTAACAAACGTACATAATTATGTACATCACACATTAACAATACCTGGGATTATACATAATATGTACTCGTACTCGTAGGTACATAGGACATACCTGCGGGCACCGGTGTTTATGTTAACATTTTAACTGTCTACTTTGAATAAAAAATCCCTTTCTGTTCATTATTTTACAGTGACATTATGAAATTAATTCAGCAATCTCTGCAATGATTTATGATTTTAATGATACATGGTTTAGATTATAATTATGTTTCCGTTTTCAATTTTGATCTGAAGACTTTGGTATGACAAGGATGATAAAGTGAGATAAAAAACACGAGAGAAATTATTCATAGAAATGTTTTAAAGGAATGAACTTGCGATTCGTAGCGAAGCAGTCGATCTCGTAGCAACTGTGCCAATACGTCTACGAACTTCTTTTTAACATACAATTATGAGCAGTATATGTCGCGACATTATTAACAGCTCAGGATAGTAACTGTTGGATTTACGAAGCTCCTTTGCATATGAGGTATAATCTGCAGGCTTAGCATTAGGATTGGAGATCGCACTTTAAAAGGTTCAGGGTTTCTCGTGCTTCAACCCCACAATACTATTGCAATTGAGCCTAATTAAACAAATTAACAAGATTTTACGAGTAAATTGTATTGGCAAACTATCCATGCCATGTAGCTACCTAATGGTCGGTGTTGCATACTTATTACGTAATAGGAATTTGGGTCGCTCTGTCGGGATTGGGGCGTCGCCTCCGTCGGCTTATAGGGGTTTTGACAATATCACTCATATAGACACCATATTGGAATTGTCTAGGCGTGAAAATTACTTACATATTTGCTATCCTACTGATATAATAGATGCGAAATTTTGTATGTTTATTTGTTACTTCTTCACGGGATAAAATTTGGAAAAGGGGTAGATTATGGCATGGATTAATACATAAGCTACTTGTTATCCCACGCCGCTGACAGAAGCTAGTTATTTCATCATGAACTCCTCTACAAAAGAGGGATTGGCCGTAATCTCCACGCTTGGCTAGCGGGTTGGAGATAGCCGATTAACAGAATTGGAGATCGCGAAAAGAGGTGGTGACAAGTACATTCTGCTTGGCCAGTAGCATCTGGCTAATTTGCTGCTATTTTTAATTGTCATCTGTCAATAGCTAAACTCGTATACTGTTCCTGTTCTGTGTTGCCAATTTACCATGATAGGACAGTATTGCCACTTCTGAATAATTGATATTTAGAGGCATTGCGACATCTGACATGATACTTTTTATTTTGAAATGACCTTTAAATTGATATTAGTTCGCTTAAGGCATAGTATTATTACATATTAACATATTCAATTTATCAAATTGAATTAATTAATCATTATTATTTTTGATGACGAGACTAACAATATTCAATTAATTCCAAAACGAACTTTATGAGAAGTTTACATAACATAACATGACTCTTTTTATCCCCGAATGGGTAGCCAGAGGTGTACATTACGGCACTTAATACCACTGTACAATATAACACCCGGTTTTCACTATTTATATTATGAGTCCCATGTTATAGAGGGTGAGCCTATTGCGATATGCCGGGCACAATTCCAGTCTCCGAGCTACTAAGATTTCTTTTAAAAACCCACTAGTACTTTGCCCGACCCGAGACCCCTTGCCCGGCAGTCGCACTTGCGACCAATCGACCAACGAGGCAGTCCTCAGTCAGTTTAAAAAAAATACAATTTATTTTTTACAAATAAATTCAAATAGGTTTCTCTTCTCGCAGAAGTAATTTTGACAATTTCTGACGACCTTAACAATGAATGACAAAAAGTCCTATCGGTTACGACTTCAAAGATAAGGTAATTGTTATATGATTGTCATTACGCCACGTAATAGTAATAGGTTAGTATAATGATATTTACCTGATATTACTTAAGTACTGTGACTGCACGGTTGGTGCGGTGGCTGGGCAACCGGCTGCCGTGCAACGTGTCGCGGGTTCGATTCCCGCACGGAACAACACTTTGTGTGATCCACAAATTGTTGATCCGGGTCTGGGTGTCATGTGTATGTGAACTTGGATGTTTGTAAACGCACCCACGACACAGGAGAAAATCCTAGCGTGGGATTAAAAAAAATATAAATAAATAAAATATGTGACTGTAACAGCACGCAGTCTAGAATTGTACTCAGTTCATTACATTAGGATCCCCCTTATGACTCCTTCTTGGTGTAAGAAGAGGTCATTGTTCAACAGTGGGCGCATACAAGCTGTTAATGAGCGATTAATTTTATGTCAATATGGAACCTTACTTCTACCGCGGCTTTACCCGCGTTCCCGTGGTAAAAATGTACCTTATGTGTTATTTCAGACCCTAACCTATCCTTGTTACATAGTTCATCCCAATCCCTTCAGCCATTTTCACATGATTGAGTAACAAACATACACACAAACGATCGCATTTATGAGATTTAACTTAACTGACGTGAAGGGAGTATTTTATATTGATAACCAGACTAAATAGAAACTTATAAGTCTATAGATTTCACTACTGAAGATTCGGGAACAAAACCTATGAAAGTTCTAACTTTAGTTGCCAATTCTAATGACAGGTAGGTTAAATTATTATGTTTTCGGCTTACTCACGGAATAATTTGACGCGCTGCTACTGACAGTCGACGCGTCGCGGGTCGCGAAATGCTGCTCATGAATATGAGCCACTAGCATGGCTTAAAACTAGTCGAGTTCCTCGTCAAATTATTACGTGAATAAGCCG